ACTTCCCTACTTTATTCAATATATTTCGATCCTCAACCAGATAAAATTATGAAATGCTCGATCCACTGTAACATGTATTTACGAATGGACAGCTTACTAAGTGACTTTGTTGAAAAAAAACGTTTCTTCGCTGCAACTGTTTTCCCCACAAGTGTTATTTTTGATTACTTTCCTGAGAATCCTAAAAAAGACTTCTATGCTAAATCTTTGAATTAATTCATTCCATGCAAGCCGAGACTTCTGTGAATATAATACGTGTTCAACTCTAAGTTTTCAGTCGGCGCTAAACATTTATGGTATTAATTACCCAAATTTTCATCAGAGTACACATAATTTTCTTCGTTTTGGCTAGCAGAGGAATCCAGGACGCACGTTTCGTTCTATTTGGAACTCGTTAGTTGGATGTACTTGCATGCACGAACCTCATACCCACCGCTTCAAACACCAAAGCGTTGTCCACTATACCACGCAGGCACGACAGCCACTTCTTGTATAACTGGCATTAGTTATTGCTATTCACTGATATACTTGTAATTCTCCGTTTTATCGGATCGGATTGTGCGACCTCTGTTGGCATATGGGCTCCTATGTGGATGCTTCGATGTTAATTCTGGATTCCCCTACCAGCCACAATAAAGCGAATTACCACAATTAACATTGAGGCAATATCGAGGCATCGGCATAGGAGTCCATATGCCAATAGAGGTCGAACAATTCGTTCCAATAAAAAAACGGAGAAATACAAATCTGTCAAAAAATAGCAGAAGTACATATAAATTGCCTTTAATTCTTCTTTATCATTATAATCAAGCTGGGACGATTGAATTAGCGGCCGTCGCGTTACCGAATGAGTTAAGACATCCCCCTAATAACCAGGTATCAGATTCATTTCAATTATTGACATTTTTCCTCGATCACCATTTATGGTCCACGAATATTTTTCAAGTTATTAAAAGCACCTTTTGAACTGGTGATTTATTTAACTTGACCATATGATATGCTTGATCGGTAGAATAAGATCAACACTGATAGCTTATCAGTGTATCATAAGTTACTATCTCTGACTGACCAGTGTACATGAACGAACCTTTAAACTAAGAAGTGATTGACGGTAAATAGTGTGATTAGCGCAGCGCTAAGCATCTTCGATGTTTACTCACCTTTTATTTTTGATAACTGACTAGCAAATTCAGTATAGGTTGGTATTATCGACCAAAGGTTATCTCTTATCGACATCTCAGTATGAAAACGTTCACAATAATTCAAATTTTGTTATAATGGTACTTACAGATGATGATTGCGATTATTATTCAATCTTGTTACAAAAATAATGATTGGTATGGAAAACCTATTTTGTGGCTGAATTCGTATCAGTGGAAAGCAGGTTTTGGTTTGAGTATTTAACCTTCAACTAACGGGTCTCGTCTTCATCTGATGTGGTCTCGGCAACCGGCTAGTATTCTGATCCCTCATACAATATTTCTCATGATGTAGTACATAAAATGTGGATCGAACTGATTTGAATTAACTCAGGGTTTCTGGGTGATGTCTTACAAGTTGAGCTGTGAGATCTCACCACTAAATTTATCTCAAGTCAAGGAGCATACTTGACAAATAGATGGAATCGCACACATTTGCATGCGTTCGCTTTTCCAGATTTACCAGTAGCGTACATAGAATAAGTGGACAGAAGAACAATGACATCCAAGTAAGCAAAGCTGTATGAGAGAACGAATTTGAAAATGCTTTAGACGTCAAATAATGAATGCATCTGTGCCGTTGTGACTCATATTTAGCTATATCAACGACCCTCCAACTATTGATTCCTGTGGTCTCGGGGACCCCAGACGGACCTCCATACACGGCTCAGACCAACGAAAATTTTCACCGACTGATGTCATTTCTTGGTTTGATCACTCTGAATATTCTCCCAACCCGATCCGACTTCGGCTAATATTGCAAGTACAGGCAGGCAGTGGCTCAGCAAAAGCAACAAACCCCCAACCCACGTCACTCGGTTACGGTCCCCATCCTCATTGGCTGAATTGCCTGTTTCCCTTCGCCTAACCTCAACATTGTTCATATGGTGATAACACAGTAGGTGAGTAGAACTGCAAACACACCTGTAATCAAAAACATGTCACCTCTTCACATCTACTTTCAGTGGCCATGTTTCATAGCCATATAATGGGACAGAGTGGCGTGCAGCGCGGTACACAGGTCATTTGATAGGTTTTGAGATACCTCTCCAGCGCCGATGCTTTGGAAGATGTTAAACGAGCTGAGATTTCACCAACAACCAATCCATTTCAACTGATGCATCTCCCCAAGAGGAACGGTCAACTCATTCAACCACTTCACTACATATCATTAAACTGGAAGTAGAAGCAGTTAATTCTTAAAGCATTGGAAAAGCGAAAAGCACAACTAAAATATACTCAGATTTCCAATGAAGGCATCCAGAAGACCCTGCATGATGTCTTTACCTAGCAGGAAAATGTCATCCGCATACTCCAAGTCAATCAGACGCCCTCCATGTGAATGAAGTTACACTGAATCTTTTTCAGAGATCACTGAATACCAGGGTAATAAAAGAAACAATACATTATGCTCAATAACAGCCAAAAGTAGACAAATACCCAGCTCACGTCACCTTCAACTGTGTATATCAATTCACCTATGCTTGTGGAAGCAAGTACATAGAAAGGACCGAAAGAAGGGTATCTACTCGATTTTATGAGCAGATCCCGAGAAATCTGTCTGAATGGTTGCAATGTCTTTAAGAGCGCAATCACTAGACGGGAGCAGGGCATCAAGTAGACGTTTCTCAATCTTACAGCAAACAAAGAACGTCATGTTTATTACAGTTCGCGGAAGCTTTCACCATCAAACATTTTCAAACTAACCTATGTACTAAGAAGGAGTCCGTAATTAACTTTTCTTTTCCCTGGTAAGGGTATATAATTTTTGCCTGTCTGTGTATACAGTCTTCCCTTTCGTTTTGATTGCATCATCTCCTCATTAATTACTTAATGACTGTTAATCACTTAACGATTTCCCAGTTTTTCATGTAATAACACCTAAGCAGTCGCTTCTTTTACACTAACAGATAAAATATATAAACAATTCGAAAGAGGCAGCAACCATATCATGAATACTTTCAGTAGCAGTAGAGGCATACTGACAGTTGGAAACGTTTGTCAGTTGGATCGTTTAATCCTAACCGTAAAACAGTGGAAATATGAGGATGATGGACTCAAATTAAAAAATACCCATAGATTCTTCATACACAAAAGCAGTGTAAGACATCATTCAGTTTACTTTCAAGTTAGAAAATGAACGAGGAAAATTAGTTGTGTTACATCAGAGAGTACGACAAAGACACGACGACAATTTAGATACTCGTACTTACAGAGAACCGTCGTATTCTAATAAACGTGTAGACTTTATGTCATCCCATGGAAATTCATGCAGCACGCTACATATATCAATATATGGATACAGACACCTCGTTAGACACAGAAATATGCCTCGTCCACATCACGTCCTAACGATTTGCTCGAGATTTTTAGAGATTGACACTATATTGTAAGTGAGCCAATGAGTTCGATTGCCTTAGTGATTGACATGTTCGACTATGACAACTCACTTGTCTATAATTAGCAGCTAAGGTGACATTCAAGTAGCAATACGACAGACCGTGACCAAGGCAGAAGTCGTACACAAACGCAGCGTAGACGGCTCGACAGCAAAAACAAAGGGAATCAAAGACGTACCATCAATGTCACCTTTCACTAGGAATACCACTATAAACACACTTATGCACGGACAAACGGAACTGAACACATATTCAACAATTCAAGTAAGCGTCTAATAACATACACGATTGCTTATATAAGCGACCAAAATAAACGACAGGGAACTGCACTGAACCGTGATTTAGCAATTTCAAGATGATGGGTTGAAAAATGAATATCTGAGGGGTGAGAAGCTTAAGAACAAAAATTCTTTAATATATATCATTCACCCGGTCCTACATATGGTGTTCCCGATAGTGAATGCAAAACGAGTAAATTCGTAGAATGTCGCTTGGTTTCGAAGGTGTCTAAGGCCAACATAAATGAGTAGCATAGGACCTTGTTGTTCAATTAATTACCAGTTTACGTGTTCACAGTCCATACTGAAGTGAAATCTGAACAAAAATGCAGACGAAGAAATCAGAATACTGTCACTAGCTGCATGATTAAGTTAGAAGAGAGTAATAATAAGAGATAAGAATAAAGATACATTAGGAAACACGTCCAAGAATGAATTGAGAGCGAGAAAATATGATGAATTCATCTACGCAACTGCAAGAAATCCTGATATAAAGAGTTAAGTCTCCAATCTACGTATTACATTGCTTCAAACCGCAAAGCCTTCAGAGCTGGAATGCAGAGTTAACAACATTATAGAACGATAACGATTCTTGATCTGGTCATCCGTCTTTTTAGTCCAAATAACAGTATGCGTTGGACTACTCAATACATTTTCGAAGGACGATAATCGATGAAGATTTACAACGTCATCCATTTGCTTACTTTCCTTGTGTAATGTTTACACAGTGATTCAACCAACATCTAGTGGTGTTATAAAACCAATTCTCTTGCAACTACTTACTCCAATCCATACAGACCGAATCCACATTTCAAATCATAATGGATTGATACAAACCGAAGATGAACACCTGAAATCAACTAGACTATACCTAGGTCACCTTGTGTGAAACTAGTACACAAGGTGCCCGATATTTGTCGGAATCCTTAGTCACGGGATTGCATTAACTGGTTAGTTTAAGTGTCAACTTGCGCTAAGAATCAATACAACTCACTCGTTTAGAGGCCTGTTTTACACCCGTTATTTGTCACAGGTTTCAATCTTCCAACCTCACCTACTGACTAACGGATATCTTCTTCGAAGTAAAAAATAACCCAACTGATCACACACAAAACCAATTCGTGCCTAAATACAGCGTTCTCTTTATCGAACCTTACCTTGAATAATGTAAATTAACTTGATCGACAATCTAAAGCAACGAAAAGATAATTCGTACATCAAAGTTATTCTAAAGCTACTCATGTCCACCTGAAAGAATAAATTCTTCTGAGAGTAAACTGTCAAGATTGTCATATGGCGATATATGTTGACCAAGATTTCACATTAGTATCGATTAAAGATCAAACCTCAAGTCATTTTTAATCACAGTAACGAATCATAGTTTTTTTCACGGACACATACACAGGCATATGCCAATTTCACAATGCTAAACGCGAATTAAGTAATCTGAATACGAAAGGAGACTTGTCATCAAAATGAAAGAATAAAATTTGCTGAGTGCTAGTTACAAGATACAATGATCAAAGTTGAAAATTAAGGAAATAAATTATACTGTAAAAACAATTTGTATACAAAAATAAAATTACGGAAAGTGTGATGAGCTGATAAAAATATGAAAAAGATCACATGATATTTTGATGTTTACATTAAATTAAACAGCGTGATGATTAACTCAAGGTCATCGGAGACGAACTCCTATTGGTTGGATAACAGTCGACCAATGGCATAATGGTTAGATATGCATCAAAATCTTGCCATAATAACGTATAACTGACATGAAATCTAAAATAGGATATAAAAAGCAGAAATAAATGTCATTTCATAACAGTGTAACAGGAGTTTCGTAAAGTCAAATGAAACAAAGTTTGCGGAATAGTAGAACTATAAATACCTTACGAGATAATCATTTGAAGCAGTATATTCTCAAAATGCGCTCGGCACGAATAACACGAAGGTTCACTCAACACCATCCATACCGTCCATTGTTTTGTTAGTCCTGAGACTGGTATAGAGAGAACGGAGGGGGTCAGCGAATTATGTAGCTACACGCGACGCAGCGTCATACTAGACCGTGATCGGAGTACAAACTAGTACTCCAGATAGAGCGACAATCCACCGATCCTCTCCAACAATGACTTGTAACAATGTGATCTATCTGTGTTCATCGTCGGTGGATGCCATGTGAGACATTGTCTCTCTTTATGCCTAAAGATAGTGCTTACCTGAAACAAGTGATTATCGGAGTAAAATTGCAACAGACGACCACCCTTGTTTAGCATAGGATTCCGTACCTTTCTCCAAGATGCCTTTCCGATTGGTTCAACTTCCTTACTTAAGCGTCAAAATCACCTGCCATTATAACTATAGCTATAGCGGAGAAGGACGGATCTGCGATTCACTCGCAGGGGAGACGACTGGAACTATAGGCAGGACACTTCGAGGAACAGTTCAACTGGCCTCCAGCCACGATTGCGTTGCCCGCTATCCAGTCGGATCCTGAATGGGACATAGAGATAGGTCCCCCAACACTAGAAGTTGAGAAGGCGGTAGGTAATCTGAAACCAGGAAGGGCAGCAGGACCACATGGACTACCTGCTGAGGTACACAAGAATGGTGGTAGACTGCTCTTAGTCAGGTTAACGGAAGTGTTAGCTAGTATATGTGAATCAAATACGATCCCCCCTGACTGGTCTGTCACTCATTATCCCAGTCTTCAAGAAAGGCGAGAAGTCCTCTTGTGATAACCACAGAGGAATCAGCCTGACGAACATAGCATCCAAAATACTAGGTTCTATAAATCTCCGGCGCCTGAGTCGAGCTCGGGAACAGCAAGCCTGAGAAAACCAGGCAAGATTTAGACCTGGCCGTGGGTGAATCGACCAAATATTCACACTGTACCAGGTCCTCGAACACAGCCACTCTTTCCAACGCCCGACAATAGCTGTATTTCTCCACCTGAAGGCGGCATTTCACTCCGTTGATCGAGAAGTCTTATGGCAATGTCTCTCACTGAAAGGCATGCCTCGTAAGTACATCACCTTATTGAAAGCTCTCTACTCGAACACTTGTGGGCATGTTAGAGCCTATGGTGAGTTGTCCAGGGAGCTATACTCATCGAGTGGTGTCCGTCAAGGAAGCCCACTATCTCCATTCTTATTTAATTTTATCACCGATGTTCTTATGGAGGTTTCCCTCTCGTCACCTAATTACACAGACGTTGACCCAATCAAGCATGAATTTTCCTTAGATCCAGAATATGCAGATGACATAGTCCTGTTCGGTGAAGACGCTGACAAGATGCAGAGTCTTCTGAACACTTTGAGTGGGAATTTGAGAATGTTTGGGATGCGATTTTCACCACCCTAATGCAAATTTTTGCTCCAGGACTGGTCTTCAGCGGTACCGCGGCTAACAATAGAGAGAGAAGTGGTTGAGTGTGTTGACCACTTCACTTACCTGGAAAGTAGGATCAACCCTGGTGGGTTAGTTGTTGATGAAAGCTCTGCACGGATACAAAAGGCAAGGTTGGCTTCTGCCAATTTACGCCACTGTGATATCCGATTGTCTATCAAGGGTCGCGTGTACTGCACAGCAGTCCGCTCTGTTCTACTGTACGGCTGTGAAACATGACCATTGAAGGTATAAGACATGAGAAGGCTTCAAGTGTTTGACCACCGTTGCCTTCATAGTGTAGGCCGTATCCCGTGGTGTCACCACGTGAGTAACGCAGACGTCAGGTGTAGAGTTTTAGGGAGAAGAGATAAGTCGGTTGGCGAGGTTGTGAACCTTCATCGACTGAGATGGTTGGGACACGTGTTACGTATGCCCAGTCACCGATTGCCTCGTCACACAATGTTGGCTGAGGTGGGTCCAGGCTGGAAAAAGGCCCGGGGTGGCCAGACTAAAACATTGCATCAGTGTATGAAGTGCTTGACTGTTGGTTTCAGCCATGTGTGACGATGCAGACTAGGTGGTTGGGGTCCGCGGGTTAAGAGGAACCGGTGGTTGGAGACTGACTCCAGGTGATCACATGGCTGAGAACCGATGTGAGTGGCGCAGAAATATACACACATTATCCTCATCTTAACTACACTATACAGAATCTCACCATTTTGTCACTCCTCTTTCCTTTCTTCTCGTACTTCATATTTCTTTTGACTGCATTCACTTATCTTCATCCTTCAACTCACTAACTTTCTACTTGATGAACTGACGTGAGGTGTGGCAACTCGGACTGTTACGCAATAATGCCTGGTCCTATGTTGATAATGATTGATTGATTTGATTGATAACTACATCTGAGCCCCTTGCTTTCTGTAGCAAAGTTAACAGCTCACAGAATTCATCATTCGCATCATCCGAACTACAGTCAGTGGGTGCGTAGGAGGAGATTACGAATATGCATCATATAGTCTCACGATCTTTCCTAGTCTTTAAAGATCCATTGAGTCGAACAACACATAGACGACTGTTTACTGGAATCTAGTCGAGAAGCGCACTTTCTACCCTACAACTTAATGCTGTGCCTACACTAGTGAGTCCATGAGAGCTAGCCACTGAGTCTCTGGATTCCCGTGTGGTGAATTTTGAAGAGTCACTACTATGTTCAGGTGAGGTCAAATTAATAACTGCACTCGGGTCCTGTATATGTGTCTCAGAGACACAGCATACAACCATGGTAAGAGATTTCAGAGTTATAACGAGCAATGCTTGCTGTCCGATTTACCATAGAGTTCAGATGTCGAAAGCGCTTACATGAAATCGATGGCGGGGTCTTAGGAGACTAGGAATGAGGTTTCTATGGGTCTGATCGTTGTCAATGGTTAAGGAGGATGTGAGAGGTCTAATATTAGTATCAAAAGGTGAAAGCAAAGGAGGAACCAGTTGGGGAAGATAAGTCATGTTTGACTGGGTCTTGTGCACTATTGGAAGTGTATGGGTGGTTGACACTTTCCGACTGCCTACACCATGAAAGGCTATTTCTTATAAAGGCACCCAAAAGAGAGAAAGATTTGTGTGACTGCAGAGTTCATGGGATATCTGTTTGAGATCTGCCACTCACGGTCTTTCTTAGGATGTTGTTTTGAGGTTTGGTTGTTCCAGCTCTGGATAAACAGAAAGCCCACATCTCCGGCACTCGGAGACTGTGAAGGCATGGTGTGGTGTGCCACTTTTGGGGCTGACCTTTTCAAATCCGCGTTTTGTCCAGAATGCAGCATCAGCGAGGGACTGCTAGTCGTCTAAGGGAAACACCTTACTGCTGACACACCCCACCCAGCTAGCACCAGGACTTTGCCCTCACAGCCTCACATCATAATGTAGTAATTTCCATTACAACGGTTACTGCTTATCTATTTACCACCTTCCTCTAGACCTTTCTGGCAAGGTAGAATCTTGAGAGAACAAGCTTTCCACAAGCATAGCTCGTTGGGTTATTGTGATACGCAAGCCCAACCACGATGTCGAGGTAAGCAGCTATCGGTCAAACATTGGAGAGTAACCGATTTCACGTCTAGTCCTGGGAGCTGGCCGAGTTCTACCGATTATGATTACGGTGCATTGTGATTGATATAATCAAGATTTGTTTGAGCTGCTTTGGACCGATGACTCTTGTAATACTATCCTAGAAAACTCGGATAGATTGATTTTCACTGCCGATCACATTTGTTCGCGTATTATCTTGTTGACTCCAAAAAAGTCCCTGACTTAACATACTCCACAACGAAGCCAAAAACCTCTGGCACAACTCAGACTCTAACTGTGTGATTTATAAATTCCTGTACTTTATACATTCTTTTTTATGGTTATCACTTATTGTTTCCTAGGTTGTTGGAAAAATAAGACTATGCTGAATTGAGAAAGGCTTTGAAAATTGACAGTAGCGGTTAGTGACAGGATTTTCAGATATTGTTTTGAAAACGTTACGTTGAATGGCGAACTAAGATATTCAACAAGAACATTTCAAAATCGCCTTTAGTGAATTTACCACCTTCACAGTTCTGCGTCTTTACACATAAATTAGTGACCAGATTGTGAACCATATAGTTATCGACTGTTCAATACTGATCTAGGTCTATCAATAAACTTCCCACTGTAGACAACATGCTAACTGATGTAACACTGTGTTGTACTGAAGTTTGGCGCCAATTGTTACGAGTCAGTTTGTAGGAAACTACCGGTCAACAAACTATGACCAGTGTCTGCTAATTATGTCGATTAACCACTGATAACTAACTCGTGTACACACAATCCAGCCCTACAAGAGTTTAGTGGTGAAATCTTTGACCTCAAAGTAGTGATGCAGGTTCATATCACCGAGGAAAATTCAATAACCCTGGGCTTGCCACCACTGTGTGTTGCTGATGAGGGCGAACAAACAGAACCAAACTTCAGGCGTCTCTGTCAATTGGGCTATAATACGGATGCTTTTGCTAAACATCGTCATCCCCATCAATATCAACATAGGACCAGGCATTATTGCGTAACAGTCCGAGTTGCCACACCTCACGTCAGTTCATCAAGTAGAAAGTTAGTGAGTTGAAGGATGAAGATAAGTGAATGCAGTCAAAAGAAATATGAAGTACGAGAAGAAAGGAAAGAGGAGTGACAAAATGGTGAGATTCTGTATAGTGTAGTTAAGATGAGGATAATGTGTGTATATTTCTGCGCCACTCACATCGGTTCTCAGCCATGTGATCACCTGGAGTCAGTCTCCAACCACCGGTTCCTCTTAACCCGCGGACCCCAACCACCTAGTCTGCATCGTCACACATGGCTGAAACCAACAGTCAAGCACTTCATACACTGATGCAATGTTTTAGTCTGGCCACCCCGGGCCTTTTTCCAGCCTGGACCCACCTCAGCCAACATTGTGTGACGAGGCAATCGGTGACTGGGCATACGTAACACGTGTCCCAACCATCTCAGTCGATGAAGGTTCACAACCTCGCCAACCGACTTATCTCTTCTCCCTAAAACTCTACACCTGACGTCTGCGTTACTCACGTGGTGACACCACGGGATACGGCCTACACTATGAAGGCAACGGTGGTCAAACACTTGAAGCCTTCTCATGTCTTATACCTTCAATGGTCATGTTTCACAGCCGTACAGTAGAACAGAGCGGACTGCTGTGCAGTACACGCGACCCTTGATAGACAATCGGATATCACAGTGGCGTAAATTGGCAGAAGCCAACCTTGCCTTTTGTATCCGTGCAGAGCTTTCATCGGCAACTGACCCACCAACGAAATCTCTACACAGATACAAAAGGCTCGGTTGGCTTTCGCCAATCCATGCCACTTATGGCGCCGCCGGGATATCCGTTTGTCTTTTAAGGGTCGCGTGTACTGCACAGCAGTCCGGTTTCTTCTATTGTACTACCCTTTTCCAACTTTTGCCACTTGTAATGCAAGTAAAATATTCGAATGTCTTTAAAGGCGAAATATGATCTCTGCTAGTATATGACTTTGAAACGTGATTATTAAAGGTCAAACATTTATAAAGGTTCAAGTACTTAACTACATCACTGTCTACACAATAGCATATATGGTGGTCTCAAACAATCGAAATGCTCTTGAGATAAAAACTTCCATGTATACCGTTATATCAGTATCTATAGCATTTATGGACTAAGCCGTTTGAAAATATTCTAATTGCAGCTATCGCAGTTGCAGTTTTAGTCAGTTAGAAGTGGAGTAAATAAAAATATGTTGGCGATGGATCAAATCAGTTACACCTCTTTTGTAACCCACCATTCACTGGTATGGACAGTTAACTCTTAACTACAATATCAATGATTCAAAACTACATGTCACCAACTTATTTATAAGTGAAATTAAACTCAGCCTGGTAAATGTTCATTTAATGCGTTATGAGCCATCAATATGTTACCACCTGCTTGCCCAGAACGAAGCGGGATTTGTGTCTGAGACCCACCGGTCGAAATTCAAGCGCTTTAGCCAACAAGGAACATTCCCAAGTGGATGAGTTTTTTGCTATTAGTCTCTCTATACATAAGAGTCTTCGTCAGCAGTAAAATGAACGAGGCTACTGAGATATATGGCAAATACATGGTAAACAGAATTCGATTGTGATCAGTAAGGAAAAGAAACATGCGGGTATTGTACTTACGTGAAAGTCACATATACATCATGGAAATAGGGTAGCTTCATAAGGCACAGCTTACTGAAAATTAAAACAGGAAGAAAATACTAATTATTCATCAAAATCAATAAGATCTAATACCATGAAAAAATCCTTTATTAATTTACAGCAGAAGATTATCAATCAGTACATACTCCCTTGAATTTCGACTAGTGCCATTTTATATGACCTAATTAACAAACTTAATGCAATGACTTGAGTTTAAAATGGCTTATGCAATGGTTACCAACTATTTTAGATTAACTAGACTTTTTGGAGCCTTTATAAAAATGGTATACGCAGATACAAATCCAGTCAAAATACAATAATAAAAAAACTACGTGCACATTCATGCAGTAGGTGTGTCATACTTACTGTGTGAGGGACTAATGATACTACTTCTCTCCAGACATTGGTTAGTGGAGCGGGGCTCGAATTCATGACACTGCTAGAAAGTCAAGCGCTTAAACCAGTGAGTCACAGATTCACAGAAATCACTATACAATATTCACTTTTACAGAATTTAGTGTGGGTGTGGCTCATTGGCTTAGGAACTAAACTTCCAAGCCATGAGCCCCGGGTTTGAACCCCACCCCATAAAGCTCCCCCCCCCCGAGTAAGTACTATAAGCCTTCATGTAACAGGTGTGGCTCGAAAGGCTTAAAAGAAATAATAAGGGCTTTTGGAGAATTGTCAAGTGAGTTGAAGACAACTAGTAGTGTTCCCCAGGGATGTCCACCATCGCCGTTCCTATTTAACTTCGTTATAGACATGCTAATGGACATAAGCTTAAGTATGTTTGTCTTATAAGCGACTAACCTACTCCGCGGAGGTCATTTGGTTGGAGTATGCAGACAATACTATCCAGCTAGGCGAAGACGCTGAAATATTGCGGGGTCTTCTGAACGCATTGAGCAGAAATACGAGTATGTTTGGCACTCGTCTTGCATCTGCAAAATGTAAGATGATGCTCCAGAACTGATGTGCTGCAAGTACCCCCAGTTTACTCATACGGAGTGGAATGATGGAGTGCAATGACTACTTCACTTGCTTAGGGGAGTTGCATCAGTTCAAACGGGTTGGTTGCTGACGAAATCTCAGCTCGGATACAGAAGGCACGTTTGGTATCTGTCAACTTGTTTCATTTACGGCGAAGGTGAGATATTCGATCACCTACCAAAGGATGAATATACTGAGTTGTAGTCTGTTCTGTCCTGTTGTACAGCTGAGACGGCCGTTAAAAGTAAATGACACGAAGAGATTGGAAGGTTTCGATCACATGTATTTTTGCAGCACTGCTCGCATGTGGTGAAATCACCATGTGAGCAATGTTGAAGTCAGGCGAAGCGTACTAGGCAAGTTGATTGATAAGGTTGTGAACCTTCATCGGCTGAGATGGCTTGGGCATGTAGTGTGTATGCTGTCACTGGCCACTTCGACGTGCTATAATGAAAAAGAACGCAAGCGAAACGAAACTCAGCTACTTTATGCACATTCGGGCACTAGGCAATGAGCCACACTTTTTTTGAAATGGCTAGTGATGCTACCTGGCTGCCCAAACCAGAGTAGGTGGAGAGGGGCTTGAACCTTTGAACCAGTGGTTGACAGTCATCTCCACAAACCAGTGAGCCACAGTTTCAGATAGCCGGAAGGGATCAAAGTTGAAGTAGAATAGACAACAGATAAATGTGAAGAAATATTACGAGGCAAATACTGAAGGTTGATTGTAATCACAGGATACTTGAGTGATCAGAAAGGTACCATGGCGGTTGATATTTACCTACCGTCTACACAGCGGTAACTGAGTAAAACTAAACTGCTAAGAACGGTTTTAACAACCTGAATTCGTCCGCACATCGCAAGCGAAATCTGCTTGAAGCAAGTCATGCAGTCTTTTAGTGGTTTTCCCGTTTAAAATTGTCACGTCTGGACCAGGAAACCCCAATACCACAAACACCAGCCGGCAGTAGATGCCGTGTTTATAGACTTCAGTAAGGCATTCAACAAAGTGTCGCATGTGAAATTACCGGGAAAGCTCTCCTCCTTCGGGTTTGGTACTTCATTACAAGCTTGGATTAAGGACTTTTTATACGATAGAAGGCAAAGAGTAAGGGTAAATGGGACACTATCCGGGTGGAAACCTGTGATGAGTGGAGTTTTTCAAGGAACAATCCAAGGCCCACAACTTTTCTTGTTATATATCAACGAGTTGCCAAATATGCTTAACTCTTCGGTGCTGTTATTTGCTGATGATGCAAAGATTTGGAGAGCCATACGCAGTGATGCACATAAATATGCACTTCAGGCAAACTTTGGTGCTTGGAAATCGATTCTAACAAAGGTGCAATAATGCACATTGGTCATAGCCATTGTTTCCAGTATTCTGTTGATGGTACACCACTACTTCCAGTCCTTGAAATAAAAGACTTGAGTGTCATCATTAGTCATGATTTGAAAACCTCAGCAAGCTGTAATGCAGCTGCAGCAAAGGGCTTCCGTATATTATGGTCCCTCCGCAGAGCTTTCAAATTTTTTGGTGAGGACATGTTTAGAATACTCTACTCTACCTACGTTAGACCTCACTCAGAATACTGCATTCATGTGGACAGCCCATACCTAAAAAAGGATGCTGACGCACTTGGGCGTGTTAAAAGGTTAGGTACTAAGCTCGTCGCAGGCCTTTCGAATCTGTCCTACGAAGAATGACTAGATCAGCTAAACTTATTCCCACTGTCTTACCGTAGAAGACGGAGTGATCTCATACGGGCATTTCATATTCTTAATAATGACTTCGGTACTGATATGTCCTATCTTTCCTCCCCTGCTAGGACTGACTACCTCCGAGGGCATCACGAGAAAATTCTAAAACCGCGGTCGAATCAACTTAGCGTGAATCTGCGTTTCTCTCATCGTGTTGTCAACGACTGGAACTCCTTACCTCAGCAAGTAGTATCAGCACCTTCTGTCGACGCGTTCGAGGAGAAACTAGATCTTCACAGAGATATCTTCTGCAAGGATTAACACAGGCCAACTGGCCCACTATCCTTATAACTGAAACTGAATCCATGAGTTTACTGTCGGAATGGCACTATCACCTGAGATACAGATAAACCTCAGGAACCAACAAATACTTCAGTCAAAGTGACTTCAAGCAAACACTCGTAGAGGTACGTCATCAATCTTTAAGACGAACTACTTACAGTTCAAGATATAACTAGAAAAAACGATGTACATTTCACCCCTACAGTTTACTATCATTTCCGACTACGCAGACAAGTTGATAACTTCAGTACAAGTGTAACCCCAACTACTGAATTAAAAGAGAGACAGAAGCCCACAACCCACTTACATAACATCAAAATGCTTGTGTTCAAAGTGCAATTTTGTCGTCACGTTCAACAAAGTGTCTGAGCGAAGTGGTATTTTCCGGGAGGAATTAGAAACTGTCTCTGGTAGATCGACTGAACGATATTTTGGAGACACAGTAATTTCTTCTACTGTGACTGGAACAAAGTTTGGATTGGATATATTGATTTGGTTCTTGATGAAGATTAGGTTTTATCAATAATCAACATACGTTCACAGTAAGATCTATTACAGACTCCTCCATATTAACGATAGCAGTGATAGGAGATAGTTTGTATACTGAACTACTTATAGAGATAGTACGAGGGAATAAGAAGACCAATAGGAGCGCAAACATTAAGGAGCATATCACCACAGAACCGAATAACTTAAGGCACATTCGGCGTGGTCTCAACCGTCGATCTGTCAGAGGAATTAAAGCCACATATTCTGCTCTGGAATCTAAAATCCCTAGTAGGAAATGCATTCAATATACCTTTCGGCACATGGCCTACGCCGGAACATGTTGGGCAGGTAACTTGTCTGGAAATAACTTCATACATGGGCATCTTATAGGCTCAAGTGACCTTTACACATTCAAGGTCCCGCAATCATCCAGGTCAGATCCAACGGAGAATGCTTTAAATGCTAAATCCTAAACCAATCTCGTAAATACAATAAAGTGTCAGTTTTTGAATGCTGTTGTCTAGATTTCGGGGTCAGGTTTTTTAAAATGACTGCTGAAGGGATAGAAGAAGCTGTAGCGTCACACACTCCCCACAAATCAATAGCCTAGGGTTTGACGACTTCGACATTGATGCTGACCTTGATAGTTTAACTGGACTCGCTAAGCTGAAGGCACCCGGTCAAGCATCCTCGCCATTTGGCACGCCGTCGTGTTACGTTGCATTGCTCGTATTCGACTCTCTAGCCAGTTAGTTGGAACGCATCGGTATTTTGGCATAACCATCCAAATATTCTATTCCATCCGACTACGCTATCGTGTTCTTCCTTGGTCTCGTATTCGTGGGTATATAACAAGTTCGAATAATTAGTGATTGGTCTTTGCGTCTGTCAAGTTCGCACCAGGACAAATCCTAAAAAGCTTTCATTTAACTGTCTTCGTGTCTAGAATACCTGGATCACTAATTCTTGTGGCGATTAGCCTATGTACAAGTAAAGAGAAAGAAAAAACGGCGGTTCAAGTGTGAAAACTCAGTTGATTCTGGTCACATCCCAGCTACATGTTAAATAAGTATCCAGTCGGCGTCTAAAGGGTTCAGACGAAGTAGCCTGGATCACGCCTGCAGGGAAGGCATTACAGCGTTTAACAACTCTTACAGAGTATAATTTGCGTCCGATATCTAACCTGCAGTGTTCTAGGCTTGGTTCCCCTATGTGACCTCTAAGATTAGTGCTACAGCTGAGATTCAATAAGTGATGGAGTGGGTAGTCAGGATGTGAGTCATGCTGAGAAGCCAATAACGGTCATTGAACTAGCTATCATCACTCCACAGGTCAAAGACAAATCAGGGACCCTTGACAGGCTCGTAGTAACAGGTATCCATAAGGCGGGTTCCAGGCAGTACCCATCAAAATACAGACCGATAAGTTTGACCAGTACTGTAGTAAAAATCCTAGGAAGAGAAATCAAGAAAGCCATTACAATCCGCCTAGAAAGCAACACTCTATTGTCTTATTCATAGCATGGTTTTCGTAGAGATTTCTCCTGCTGGACGAACTCCCTCACAGCCACAGAAAGTTAAGTCTGAAGATGATGGGATGCCCATAGATGTCTTTTTCATAGACTAGTAAGGCGTTCAACAGGGCACCTCATTCCGCGTTGCTCGGGAAACTGGAAAGTTTCGGAATCACTGGCAGCCTATTGGCATGGATAAGAGAGTTCCCTGCTGGAAGAAGACAAGTAGTAAGGATCGATTTTCAACTCTGCACTTGAAAGTCCGCAGAGAGTGGAGTGCCGCAATGCACAGTCCTGGGTCCCCCTGCTGTTTCTCCTATACGTAAATGAGTTGCCAAATATCACGAAATCTCCTGCGGTTCTCTACGCTGATGACATAAAAATCTGGCAGGAAATTAGGAACGACGATGGTATACGCGAGCTTCACGCGGACCTGAACAGCCCGTTTACCGCACCAGAGAAGCGGTTGATCCCTATCAGTGCAGGTAAATGTGTGAGCATGCAGGTGAGACACACACACAGCAAGGCCTAAGATATTGGTGGGACTCCTCCACGTCACCCCCGACCCACAATGGCCTAGGGGTCACGGTGAGTCATGACTTGAAAACCACGGCTCACTGTCGACTGGTAGCAGCCAGGAGTTTAAGGACTCTTTGGGCGTTACGCAGAACGCTTACGAAAATAGGTGGTGACATCTTCACCATCTTATACAATTCCCTAGTTAGGTCTCGGTTGGAAAACTGTACACGGGCAGCAAATCCTCGTCCGAAATTGACGCAGACTTTCTAGGAAGATTTCAGAGGGCTCCCACTAGCATGGTCCCTGCGATGGATGGCCCCACCTGTGACGATCGAATTAAGGAGCCGAACCTCTTCACTTTGTCATATCACAGACAGAGGATAGACCTAATCATGCCATGCAGAATTCGAAAAAATGACTTCGGACCTGATTCATCTTCTCTTCTCCTTCTCACTAGGTCGGAACACCTCAGAGGACATAGTAGGAGGACACGAAAGCAAGGAACGGACATAGTCTCCTCGGAGTTCTGGTTCTCGCGTCGAGTAATCAACGCTTGGAACCAACTCCTAGAAGAAGTGGTGTTCGCATTATCAACTGACACGTTCATAAGAGGATTGTATAGGGACAGACATATTCTGGAAAAGGACTAACATAGGCTCCCAGCCTGCTATCCTCGAACGGCAAATCTGAATCATCAAGTCCCGTCTTAGCTTTCAGTATCCTAGTGGATACAGATAGAGCACAACCAGTCGTTCTTCGTACGTTTTGGACCTAAATCCCCGAACGCATTCGTTCGAACGCCTCTGGATGCGTTCTAGGCTTAATTTTCCCTTCCGCTAGACACTGGTCTCGAACTCAGGGCGAGGCTGTGCGAAGCTGTTGGAAATTCGATGAAAACACCTACGATTGAATTATCCGGAAATCCGTCCGAAAGCCACCAACGCTAGGTTTTTGTGAAGTGCGTTTGTCATAACTGGAGTTGGATCCTAGGTCATGAAGGACTAAAGTGCCCAGATCCTTCTGTCACCGACGCCCCAAGCTTCCTACTGTTGGGTTTATATGCATGACATGGATCTTGTTTTACTTTTATCAACCTGTATTTTCATGATTAAGTGCGAACTCATCATTGACTGCCCAGTTTCAAAGTTAAGTCTTCAAGTGGAGACACACCGTCTTCCGCACTTTTGGTTTCGCCTCATAGTTCAACCTTATCCGCAAAAAGAAGGATTCTGGGAGAAACCTATTGGGGCAAGCTATTTACACATATTAAGGAAAGAAGGAGCCTTGGTACTGAATCTTGGGGAACACTGCTAAGACATTTTATTTCTTCAGACAGGGAAACTCGCTCGAAATCTAAATGAACGACCCGTAGGTATGAAGACAAACAGTCAATGAGCGGTGGTCGAATCCCGATTTATTTCGGTTTCCCAATAAGGCAGCCATGATCACCAAGATCAGATGCCTTAGAAAAGTTCAGGTTAAAAACATCATTTTGCCCCCTACTACGAACAGTGGTAGCCCATCTGTCTACTGCCGGGAACAGACTGGTAATGTAGGAGTACCGTTTTCGAAAACCATGTTGTTGGGGTGCAGAGAAGTTGGTCGTTGTAAGGTGATACCCCGGTTCATTATAAATTAGCGATCCCATTAACTTGGAAGGCATGGGTAAGTCATCACCTGTCTTTTTTTCTTTCGGCTGCTTCGCCGACCCTCTTTGAAGATTGGAGTTATGTGGCCCAATTTCCAAGAATCCAGTACTTTCCCTTGACTCAGAGAATTCTAAAATGACTTACTTGAAGGTTCGGACAAGACCGGTGCTCCATCCCGCAGTAACGCTGCGTGGATTTCACCAGTAGCACTTGGTGCTGTACTAGCTCGGCGCTCAAGTCAACGACTAGGAGTCCCACTTCGGTAGTGGGATATTCGTGAACTCCTAGGCAAGTGGACGATGACAAACGGGCTTGTGAATACTGGTCGGCCTGGAACCCAGCCCCCTCGGTGCCGCTACTAGTCATTACGTTTGTACCAAGTAACTGACGGACTTCAGCTCCAGCTTGCCGTAAGGAAGCAGAGTAATGGAACCGACTTCTTGGGTTGGAAACAACCATGTTCGTAGGCCTGACTTGATGCCGTTGTCAATCGGCTCTCAATGCCTTCGTGCTTGTTTTTCTTGTCTTTTCAGACGGTTTGAAGTTGTTATCGTTACCACTGCTCTTGTGTCCGGTTGAATGTTTCCTTTGGCATTTAGTTAGTAGGTCCTTTGAAATACCTACGGAGGTGCTCGCTGAGTCAACGACAGGTTTGAAATCATAGCAGGCATTTCTAGTGACCATAAGTTATTTTTTCAAAAACATGCACACGCTGGTTTACGTGCATGGTCATGTAATTATACCATTTAAACTTTGATGCTGATAATGCATTGATAATTCGAAATGATTGACGCGATGTGCAAGTGGAAAGGAGTGTGCTGAGTCGTTAATAGAATATCAAGTTCCGGCAGCCAAATGACTCACCGAAACATAAAATTTACCACAAAAATAGCTCAACCGACTTCGAAAAGGAACGGAGCCCTGGGTCATCTATGTGTATATGCGTATGAGTAATTATTCAGCTGCCAACTTTAAATGAGTAAGAAAGTATAGCTGTTTGGCTGGGGGCAGTCGGGGGAGAAGAAAAGGAAAGAAAAAAGGAGCCGTGAAGCCCAGTATTGATCATAGTGATAGTACGAAAAGCCTACTGTGAACTGAAACGAAACTCGCTACTAAACCTAGACAAAGTCTATGTGAATGCGTTCCTTGCCCTTTAATGCGAAAAGGGAACGAGTTTCAGCCGATCTAGATGGACCACATATGTTCAGTCTTTTGGCATTTCACTTTAAGATATGGCTATTCATTCCCCTCTGGTGCTGTAGTGTTACGCTTCGCCAGTGCATCAAGCTCAAAAGCCATGTTGGTACGGCGTGGGAACTCTCTGTGATTCTCTATGATTCAGCCCTTTATCCTAGACTTTTTGAGGAAGCTACTGGAATTCCTAGTTAAACTCACCGAAGGACATTCGTTATTTTGGTGTTTGTGCCTCAAAAGATCATAATTAGATGCTAACCAATGATCAACTGCTTCAGAAATCTGACTCGCTACGGCTGTTTAAGGGAGCCGCGTGGTGTTCCTTCAAAATGTTCCGCTCCTCAATGTTTATCCTGTCGGTTGTTTCAAGGAGATAAAGCATTGTCCTCCATGGGAAAATAGTGAAACGTGTATCGTCCCCTGAGAATGAAGGAAAAGTGTTGATGTAATCGGTAGCGGTGGTAGTGTTAAGGCATTCAAGCAACAAAACATTGTGCTTACTAGGTGCTTCGACACAGTTTGCCGGTCTAAAATACATTTCGAAAACTTTCTTTGCACTTTGGAACCAGAAAAAGCAAGCTGGCTCTTTTCTCATTTGCAGCGGAACAGTGAAACATGCTGTGAAATCATCTCCTTAGTTAAAGAAACCGGAATGGTCCAACTGGTTGTTGACGGAGTAGAAGAACCCTTTACCTAACTTGCTTCCGACTCTAGAATCC